GCTTTCCTATCAATTCACAATGTCTGTCATATCTCCTAGTTTAAATTAACTCTTTCAGGTTTTACACTAGTGAAACAGTGCAGTGCTTGCACGTGTATGTTTGATTTATTTCACTTATGAGTATTGTCTCTAGTTGTGACCATTTACCTATAAAAGCCTTGAGTTTATCTTTCTTTATAGCTGAGTAATATTTCATTATATAAAAGTACCACAATTATCTTATCCAGTCTTCAGTGGATGGACATTGGGTTGCTTCCACAATTTAGCATTTACAAATTGTGCTGCTATGAACATAGGTGCACATATATCACTGTGATACGACGTTTTTAGATCTTCTGGGAAAATACCCAGCAGGGGGATAGCTGAGTTGAATGGGACCTCTAGACCTAGTTTTCTGAGGAATCTCCAAACTGATTTCCACAGTACACTCAGCAATTTCTTGATTCTAAAACCTACCATTTTCCCCTCAGTTTTTCACATTTCTAAAATAAATTGTTACATACATTGTTATATGCATTAAATGTGTACTTTAATTTTTTTCTTCATAATGCCATTAAAATGGCTCTGCACTTTTGCATCTTTATAATTTGGTAGTTACACATAGTGCTTAAATTTTGGAAAAGGTTCTAATAATAAAGAATAGGTTTTAGCTTGGCAAGGCTGAGTGAGGCAGGACCATTGCCGCAAGTTCGAGGGCAGCTTGGGCTACATAGTGAGACCCTGTCTCAAAAAACAAACCTTATAAGCTAGTACGAATTCGAGGTGGAATTACTATTTGACATCTCCCTGTTTACCCATACAGGCTTTGATGGTTTTGATTTTTTTCATCAACTATTGTAAGAGAATCCACGATGAATGTAATCATTACGTCCTCCAAATACACTAATAAACAACTAAGGCTGGGCATGGTGGCACACGCCTGTAATCCCAGCAATCGGGAGGCTGAGGCAGGATCGTTGCAAGTTCGGGACCAGCCTGGGCTACAAAGTGAGCTCAAGGCCAGCCTGAACTGCACAGTGAGACCCTGGGATTACAGGCAAAGTGTGCCACCACACCTGGCTAACAAAGAGTTGCATAGGCTGGGTATGGTGGGGCATGTCTGTAGTCACAGCATTCAGGAAGCTGAGGCAAGAGGATCGCTATGAGTTGAAACCAGCCTGGGCTATATAGTGAGTTAAAATCCAGCCTCAACTACATACCGAGACCATGTCTCCAAAAAGCAAAGAAAAGAGAAGAGAAAAGAAAAAGAATCCCAAGAAGAGACAGTACCCCTGGGACATGTCAGAGGACAAACTAGGAAAAAGTGATTTCTGCCATTGTCATCTCCTGCAGTTTGCGCTCAGAGGTGTCTGGTTACATGAGTATTACCCCTTTCTGACTAATGGTCCTCTGGGTATTTGAGGCTTTCTCTCCCTTTTGAGTCTTGAAATTGGAAACAATAGATTCTTCTCTGTTGCTGTTGTGAGTACTGAAAAGGTTGGCTTTGCAGGTTGCTTCAGTGTTGTTGCAAGTCGTGTCTAGGGATGTCATTAGGGGTGTTAATGGATGCCTTAAACAGAGACACTTTGCAGGTCCTGAATTCTGCCATCCTGTAAGTGTATTCTCTAGAGGATGTGTTCATCATGGGTTAGGAAGGTTGCGCTTGACCTTGCAACAGCTTGCAATAATTGCACCATCTAGATAAGTGAGCCCAGAGCTGGATGACTTAGAGCAGCGGCTTTAGCAGGTTGGTTCTTCAGTCTTTCAACTGTATCCATCCTTAGGAACAGAAACAACAAAAGAAGTAAGGTGAGTGGGATACTGGTGAGACAAAGGCAATGAAAGAAAGCCAGCCAGCCATTGTGATTGTTTCACTGAGGGAGAAGAGCCTCAAGAAACTAGTGGTAGTGATGCTTGTGGATTCTAACAGTGGTCTCTTTTCACTGGTCCAAGGTTCCTCAGGAAATTGATTTCAGGATTGTATATAATTCATTGTTTAGATTTTTTGTTTGTTGTGTGTGTGTGTGTGTGTCTTTTTGAGACAGGGTCTCGCTATGCAGTTCAGGCTGGCCTTGGGATCACTTTGTAGCCCCGGCTGGTCTCGAACTCGCAAGGATCCTCCTGCCTCAGCCTTTCGAGTGCCATTGCTTAGATTAATTATGCTGAGTGAGTATTGTGCCTGTGCTGTTTAGAATAGGCATTAATAGTTGGCCTTTCAAAAGGCTTATCTTTCTGGTTGTTTTGTGTAGTTGTTTTTGTTTTTGAGGTAAGGTCACATTGTGTAGTTTAGGTAGGCAGACTTTAAATTCACTATGTAGTCCAGACTGGCCTCGAATTTATACTGATCCTCATGCCTCAGCCTCTCAAATGCTGGGATTATAGGCATGTGCCACTGTGCCGGACAAACACTTTGGTGTTTGAATCCTCTTCTTTCCCCTCCTCCCTGTTTGTTAGATTTGAAATAGATAGGCATCATGGGTCTGATAATAATTTGGTGATTTGTACTTAGGAAAGATGAGGACTCTTGATCAGATCTTTTAGTTCTGTTGATTGTGTTTATTTAGGGTGCATGCAAGGTGGGAGAGGGAGCAAAATTTAAGAGCATGATTTTATGATGTTGATTACAGTAATTGAGGTATGGTTCACTTTTAAAATGCCCTTTCTCTAGTGCACGCCTGTAATCCCAGCGCTTGGGAGATTGAGGCAGGAGGATCATTGTGAGTTCAAGGTCAGCCTGGGCTACATAGTAAACTCAAGGACAGCCTGAACTTCACAGTGAGACCCTGTTTCAAAAAAAAAAAAAAAGCCCTTCCAAGCTGGGTGTGCATTCCTGCTAGCACTTGGGATACTGAGGCAGGACTGCCACGAAATGAAGGCCTGAATTAGAGTTAGGCCCCGTCTCAAAACAAAACAAAAACCCATGGTGCCTGACAGTTTCTAAAAGATAAATAGGTATAGATATGATAAAGTAAATATGGTAAAATACTACATTTAGGATATCTTGCTGAAGGATATAAAAGAAACCTTGACCTGTTCCAATCTTTATAAGAAAGGTTCCAAAACTAAAATAAAACTAGAAAATCCTTTTTGCCTAAATTTATTTTCATAGAGGTATAGAAATTTTCTTGTAAAATTGTGAATTCCTTTCATTTCTAAAATGTATTAAGTAGACAATTCCTACATATGCATATTTAAAACCAGTCCTAGTACAGCTTTACTTTTAATTCTTGAGGGAATTCTCTTAGCTTTTTCTTTTTTTCTTTTTTTTTTTTTTTTTTTTTTTTTTTTT